GGGGGGGGGGGGGGACTACCACCACAGCAAGCCCACTGAGCGACTTGTGCATAACCAGCAGGCTAAGGCACATAAGGGAATCCACCTTCACCCCAGCTCTGGAATGATGTCCTCCTGGGAGTGTAGGGAAGACCAGGGCCTCCAATGGGACACTTACATGCCTGTACACCAATGCTAGGAGCTTGGGGAACAAACAGGAGGAACTGGTCCTCCTGCTAAATAAGAATGACTATGATGTCATAGAGATGAGAGACCTGGTGGGACTCCACCTATAACTGGGCCACAGGTATAGATGGCTATACCCTGTACAGGAGAGATTGTGCAGATAAAAGGGACGGGGTGTAGTTCTCTATGTCAAGTAAAGCTACAAATCCCTGCAAGCTGACATTGGCACCCAGGGAGGACAACTGGAGACCCTCTAGGTTAAAATCTGTGGTGAACATGGCACAGGGGACACAATGATAGGAGTCTACTACAGACCTCCTAATCAGGAACAAGAGCTCAACCAGGAGTTTGCCAAGGAACTGGCTGAGGCTGCACGCTCTCGGTGCATGGTTGTCATGGGAGACTTCAACTACCCAGACATCTCGTGGGAAGAGCACTCGACCAAATCCGAATGGCCACAAAGCTTCCTCACGCGCGTGGATGAGCTCCGACTCAAGAAGTCTATGGACTGACAAGAGGTAAAGCGCTGCTTGACCTGGTACTGGCAAAGGGGGATGATGTAGTCAGCAATCTAATAATGGAAGGGAAGCTGGGAGACAGTGACCACAAGCTGATCACTTTCATTATGCACTGCAAAGCTGGCAAGTCAATCAGCAACACAGAAGTCCTCGACTTCAGGAAAGCCGACTTTGACAAGCTCAGGAGGCTTGTTGGCAAGGCCCTAAGGGACCACAACTTGAAGGGGAGGGGAGTTCAGGATGAGTGGTTGCTTCTCAAGGGAGCAATCCTGAAAGCACAAGCAATGTCCATCCCATCTTGGAGGAAAGGTAGCAAAAGGGCAGAGCAACCACCTTGGCTCTGCAGGGAACTTGTGGACCTGCTGCATCTAAAAATAAAGACCTATAAAGGATGGAAGACTGGAATTGCCTCAAAGGAGGAGTATTCTGCACTGGTCCGGACCTGTAGGGAGCGAACCAGGAAAGACAATAAAAAGTCCTTTTTTAGTTATGTGGGGAGCTAGAAGAAAAGCAAGGGTAACATTGGACCCCTACTAAACCAAACGGGACAAATGACAACTGACACCCAGGAAAAAGCCAGCCTGCTTAATGGGTATTTTGCATTAGTTTTTCACCAACCCAAAGGGACTGCCCTGCTCAACCGGTATGGGATGGCCAAGGTGAGGGAGAACTGTTACCGTACATCACTGCAGACCATGTAAAGGAACACCTTGAAAGGCTGGACACCTTCAAGTCAGCTGGCCCAGACAGTTTACACCCCAGGGCACTTAAGGAGCTGGCAGGCATCATAGCTCAGCCACCTGCACAGATCTTCAAGAACTCGTGGTGCTCAGGTGAAGTGCCTAAAGATTGGAAGAAGGCCAATGTGGTGCCTAACTTCAAGAAAGGAAGGAAAGTAGACCCAGGGAACTACAGGCGTATCATCCCGACTTCTATCCTGGGGAAGATCTTGGAAAAAATTATCAAAGACTATTCTTCACAAACTGGCTGATGGCAACATCCTGAGGGACAGCAAGCACGGGTTGTTTGGTCAGGCAAGACCTACCCACATCTCATATCCTTCTATGACCAGTTGACATACCACCTGGACAAGGGAGAAGAGACTGACGTCAAATATCTTGACTTTAAAAAAGCCTTTGATCTGGTGTCCCATGATCTCCTCATGGAAAAATTGGCCAACTGCAGCCTCAGCTACATTACAGTCCGATGGCTGGGGAATTGGCTCCGAGATCAGACCCAGAGAGTGGTAATTGACAGATGTAAATTATCGTGGTGCACCGTAACCAATGGGGTCCCCCAAGGCTCTATTCTTGGGCCTATACTCTTTAACATCTTTATTAACGATGTAGATGTTGGTGTCAGAAGCAGACTGGCCAAGTTCACCAATGACACCAAACTTTGGGGTAAAGCATCCACACCTGAGGATAGGCTGGTGATCCAGGCCGATCTCGACAGGCTCGGAAAATGGGCTGATGAAAGCCTGATGACATTCAACACTGAAAAATGCAAGGCACTCCCTCTTGGGGGGAAAAAAAACCCTAAGCACGCTTATAGGCTTGGCAGTGCTACACTTTCTAGCACCACAGCTGAAAGGGACTTGGGGGTCATGATTGATTACAAGATGAATGTAAGCCACCAATGCCATGTCACAGCTGGTAAAACAAGCAGAACTCTGGCTTGCATCCACAGATGCTTCTCAAGCAAATCCCAGGATGTCATCCTCCCGCTGTCCTTGGCCTTGGTGAGGCCGCAGCTGGAGCACTGCATCCAATTCTGGGCTCCACCATTTAAAAAGGATGTGGAAAAGCTTGAGAGAGAGCAGAGGAAAGCCACGTGCATGATCAAAGGGCAGGAGGAAAGGCCCTATGATGAGAGGCTGGGAGCCATGGGACTTTTCAGCCTGGAAAAGCACTGGCTCAAGGGGGACCTGGTGGCTGCCTATAAGTATATAAGGGGTGTAACATCAGGATCTGGGGAAATGCCTGTTCACCAGAGAGCTCCAAGGGCTGACAAGGTCAAATGGTGACAAACTCTTCCAAGACCATTTCAGGCTGGACATAAGGAAAAACTTCTTTACTGTCCAAGCCCCTAAGGCCTGAAATAGACTGCCTCCAGAGGTGATACAAGCACCTACTCTGGACTCATTTTAAGAAACATTTGGACGTCTATCTTGCTGGGATCCTTTGACCCTAGTTGACTTCCTGAACCTGGGGCCGGGGGCTGGACTCGATGATCTTCCGAGGTCCCTTCCAGCCCTAATGTCTATGAAATCTATGTGTACATCTGTACAGACTTTGGCATAATGAAGCATATAGCACTGTTAGCCAGTGATTTAAAACATTCTGACAATTTTCAGTGCATATTTATTTTTTAAAGTATATAGAAGCTATTTAGGCTTAATTGTGTTGATACACGGATTAGCTCTACATTTAACAGATAAATAAGTTTTAAATTAAATTCTACAAAAAACTTGATAGTGATTAAGCTACAGGAGCTCTAGCTTTGGGCCCAAAACAGAGCCAGGGCTGGAACTGTTACTGCCACTGCTGCCTGGCTGGGGTCAGAGCCACCATGTGCTCCATTGTCCTTTGGGATGAAGCCAAAGCCAAACTGGGTAAAGTGGGGTCATGAGGGGGGAGGGGGAGCAGGCATGCCACAAGCACCACATCCTCTGAGTGCCTCTGCAATGCCTTTCTCCTGTTCAATTTGCTGCCCTGCTTTCTACCCTATCTGTTGCTCTGCTTTTGGCTACCTGCCCTATCTGTCACGGTGTTCCCCACTCCCTCCCAGATCTGTCACGTGTCACACACAGGAGGCTGTCTGTGCCACTTATAGAATGTGTGCCTCAGGTTGGCCATCCATAATTTATACCCATTATTTGTTTTCTATCTTTAAACCAATTTCTGATCCACAAATGGACCTTCCCTTGAATCCCATGACAAACCAACTGTCTT